TATACTTATACTATAGCAGACACGATCAGTACGAGTAGCAGTAGCAGCCGCGCGCAGAAGCATTGAGCACGCGAAGCGTGCGAATCATGTAGCCACCTAGCCTAGGCCATAGGTAGCACTAGCAGCCGCACAAGCGCTGCGGACCACGTGAACCGTTCTCTGCAAATAGAAACATCTGCAACAAAAGGATACAAAAGATCTGCACTGACTGCACTCTGCATCTGATCTGCAGTGAAGAGCGCATCGCACTTTTGGTCCGGTAAGTTTTTGAATTTTTTGAGCCGCTTCATCCGCCACCAGGTGATGGACAACCCTGACCAGCCTCCCGAAGGCGTAACAGACGTCCCTCCTTCTCCTTCCAACGATGAAGAACCTCCCTCACCATGCATGTACCAGGACTTCAGCGGTCTGGCCACCACCACGTGCTGAGCACGTGTGCTGTTCATGTACTTGCTTCACCCGCATGCCACATTCGGCCAGGCAACGCATGGCGGGGGTGCTGCTAGTATAGTATAATCATGTACTAGTCAAAACCCGTATTTGTAAAACTCGAATTTAGACAGCAAAAGGATGCAAAGCAAAGCAATGGAGAAGGCAAATCTAAATCAATAATCAAACAAACCAGCGAAATAACAAGAAAACGCAATTGTCGCACGCACAATTTGGGGATAGGCCAGGGGCGTCACCCGTGATGGGCACGGGGGGGGGGGGGGCACGTGCACCCCCCTAAAAAATTCGACCTTGGTTTTTTGCGAACTCCTGCAGTCCTGGTTATGAAAAGTGTAGTGCTGATAGAATCTGCTAAAACCAGAAAACTGCATGCATTAAAACTAGTTGTACTACAGTACTGGCAACTGAAATCGGACCCCCTTGCCGGCTCGGCGCCCCGGCAAGGGGGTCGGATTTCAGTTGCCAGTACTGTACGTAACAGTACTTGTCTGCCGCGATCGCGTTAGCGAGGTTTTTATTTTTTTATTTTTATGACAATAAGTAATTTTATTGAAACAAAGAAAAATGATGGCACCTAGTACCTACATGCATGTACATGTACATACAGGGGTCAGGGGATGGCCCACGCCTGGTATAAAGTAAACGTAAAAGAGAAAAAAGAAAAAGTAGTACAGCACAAGCGTGCACGGGGTCGCCATGGTAACCAAAGAGAGAGAAGAAGGAAAAGATAAGATAAGAAAGAAAGAGAGGTAAGCAACTCCATGTACATCAACCGTACTTGTGTCATACGCTTACAATGAACACTCAGCAGCCGCCAGAACAGCCGAGTGAACAGGAAGTGGCATTGAAGAGCGCCGGTAGCCGCGCAGACTAGCAACCATGGCTCTCACTAGGCTGAAGGACAGTTTGGTCCGGACGAAAGCCATGGTGACGGAAAAAGGCTCGTTGCGCTTGTCGCTCAGTTTGCTGGCAATCCTGGCAAACAGCGCAGATGAGGCCTTTCCCTGTCCACCAGTGGTGGAGAAGACAATGGGCACAAAGGAGGAGTGCTCTACCTCCAGAACTCACCGCTCATATTTCCTCCGCTTCTCCTGCTCATGCTTTCTGTAGACAGACGGGAGTGTAAGGTTTCGATTTGAGGGGACAAAAGGGTTGAACACCCGAACATCAAACATTGTCCTCTCAAACCTACTCCCATACAACCCCCGCGCTGCCACATCCAGCCTAGCATGGTCTTCGATGTTGGTCGACCGAAGAAGGGACATTTCACCGGACAGGGGCTCCAGTGCAGGCTCCACACAGACATCGTGGGCTACTTCCCGCAGCAAATTGGCTGTGAGGTCGCGAATCTCATTGTGCCGCATTCCAGGGAAGCCACCAACTGAACACGACAGTGCATGCGTCGTGTCAAACTGCTAGCCGCAGACGCAATGGGTTGGCAGTCGGGGAGGGGTCCAGCCGTATCGTAGGCACAAGGCATCGCGAAATCCCGACTTCGGCATCGTGAACTGAAAGCGGCGAGATGGCCGACACGTGAGCCAACTTGAGGCACCCTTCTCCGCAGCCAGATCCAAGATCCTTTGGTCGTCCAGGCTGAGCTGGTCCCTGAAGGAGGACAGGGCCACAGCTTGATCATGGCGTACGGTCACACGTACATCCAACTTGGCGGCTTTGATGGCAGCAAACACGTCTTCAGTGGATTCCTCCTGCTTCAGTAGCCTCTCCACTAGTGGTTTGGTGATGGAGACAGAGGCGGAGTACTGGCTGGATAAACCGGTAGGGATGATGAGTCCCAGGCCACCATTGCGACAGGGGAGCGATAGCATCGTACGCTCGCTTTCACCCGGAGCTTGGCGACCAGTGAGTGCTGGCAGAAAGATGAGGCGGATGGCTTGTTCCAGGGGCACAAGGAGATCAGAGATAGCAGGCATGGTCCTGGCCAGAAAAGACCACTTATGCCGTAGGGCATGAGTGAAGACGGCATAGGCTGCTTGAGGCTGAGATGCTGCGTACTTGGCCAAGGCGTGTATTTCGTTGCACGCGACCTTCTGGGACACGTACTCAGAGCAGAATCGATCTGTGCCCGGACCAGCACCCGGCGAGATGACGATAGCCATCCGTCCTGATGTCAACCCCAGTGTTGGCAAAGAGTTCTCTTGCCAATTCCAGGAAACGAGGCTTGACAAGCAGGACCGACTTGGACGGATTGATGTTGTAACCGTACTTGCTACCTCGATCGATCAGGATGGACAACCACGTACGTATCCTGCGCAGGAATCCAGCTGACGTGGCATCATCTGCATACCATGACTGTATTGTACCAGCAGTTGAGGCTCCCCGGCCTGATGAGAGGCACCGTACCTAGTGCATACAATGCCAATGGCATCGCAAGGGGGTCGCCCTGCATTGTGCCTTCCGATGACATAATAACTTCTCCTCCAACATAGAGTTGAGCAGGTGACCAGTAAGTGTTGATAAGCGCTAGTGCCAGCTCCGGACCGAGTGCATGTACATGTACATGACCGATTCTACCAATCCATGATTATGTCTTTTATTTATGATGTCTACTGACAGTACATGTACTGACTACTGTACTTGTAGTCAGGGAGTCGTCAAATACCGGTATTTGACGACTCCCTGACTACAAGTACTAACAAGAGTCCATAACCCCCATGTCCCATAACTCTTGCTTGGTACTACCGTAAAGTACCGCCAGAGCGCCCCACCATCTCGTCCTTTCGTGGTCGTATTGTGGAGGTGGTCTGCTGTCTGTAGGTCATACGACATGAACCTTGTAGAGGGGACGGTTTCAAATAGGACATAGGTTGCAAACCGGAACGGACTCAATATTCACTTTCTCTCTTGGTATTTTGATTAGAAGACATATGTCACAGTGAGACTACGATGTGTTATACTCCGAGCCAAAATTTCATGGCTCTGCGATGACCAGAAGCGCCATATCAAGCAGGTGAGTTTTTGACGTGTTGCTTCGCACTGCGACTTGAGTTTTACGACTTTCGAAAAATCAACTTCTTGTCGCAGGTAAACAGCGGCTCGCCTCTCGCCAATAAAGCACCGCATACCAATCAAAACTAATGGAAGCACACACAAGGCTTATTGTTACTCTGTACTGGCCGTCGTGGAGCGATAGCAATTACCTAATTTCAGAGCCAGAGTGAATTTGACGTGCACTCTAAAACGTGTCCGGTTTGGAGCCACCTCTGATTTGAACTTTTTTGAAGCGAAAAATTGGGCAACTTGGAGGCAATGGGTCAACACAAAGGAGTGGCTCAGTTCGATTGACTCTGGCCCCAGAGCAAACTTCAACATGCCAGTTTCCTTCCACAAACATATTTCGAGTGAAAAATCCACGCTGATGATCGGTTTGGGTCTATACAAATTTGGCTGTCAAAGCGTCCCAGTATCGAGCCGTCTCCTCTACACATATTCCACATTTTGCAGTCAATCCGTACCTTCGAGCGGACACAAGCTCCACACAAAAACCTGCCAAGTGTGCCCTTAGTACACTAAGGTTCTCACATCGTACAAACTTCGTTGCACTCTGCTATACGATTTTCCTTTCCCTGGCTGTAAAATCAAGGTGGGGCGCTCTCGCGAGACGGGGCGCTCTGGCGGTACTTTACGGTACATGTAGTAGTACTAGTAGTAGTACTAGTAGTAGTAGGTCACTTCAGCCAAGTAAGGCTCAGCCTCCCTCACCTGAGCCGAGGGCCTCAGGCCAGAAAGTGTGACGAGTCCATAACCCCAAAGCCGCAAGGGTTATGGACTCTTGAAATTATGCTAAACAGCTGCAGACGCGCGCGCTATGCCTACTAAAACGTAGTTATTTTGAAAAGAGAAATACTAATCAATCGCCCGTGTCACGTGTATCCTCTCTATCAAGACTCAACTCAAAAAAGTCTCAAGCCAGGCTACAAGTCAGGGAGTCGTATTTTACGACTCCCTGCTACAAGTAGTACTAGTACCGGTAGGAGTAGGCCATGCAGTCTACAACAAAAAAAAAAAAAAAAAAATTACCTGCAATGACTACAATCATGTATACAGGAGCTAGTATGTATCCCACAACTAACTGTAGCACATGGCAGAGGCACCAGCGACCAGTTCACGTGCGCGTGCAAAACCTGAGCCAAAACCATGAAAACTGCAAAAGGACTTTTATGTAAGGCCAAAAAGGTTTTGGTGCGATAGTACATTACATTACTTTGTAGTACTAGTACAGTAGTGGAACAGCAGTGTTACCATGGTTACAGCACAACAAGCTGGGCGCTACGTAAGTCGTTACATACGCTGAACAGACTCAGTATAGGTACTGAGCTAGGTGCAGGTAGCTCAGCACTCACAAAGTACAATGTCTTACATGTAGATCTACGTAGTGGCAGATCTCGATACCGTACCGCGTCTACCGGTAGATCTACTGCAGTCTACCAAGTACCAGGTCTGCAGCTGCGTTCTACAATCAAACAATCACAATGATTACGGTGTGCTGCGACCACTCGATCGAGTCCATCGTGAGCCAGAATGAGAAACATTACTCATTAGAAAGTCGGCAGGCCGGTAAGAAAATATTTTCGTCTCAAACAGTAGCCTAGTAGTAGTAGGCAGTAGGCTGTGAAGTGCGTTCACAGCTAGCAAGCCCGAAGCTTCTTCTTTTTTTTTTATTCCAGCGAAAGGTCGTGGATAAGGAGCTTGCAGAGTTTTGGCACGATCCAGAAAGCCTAGCGGCCAGCAGCAATGATCAAAAGTTGCGTTGCAGTTTAGAAACTATTGTCGCATTGAATGCGTGACTCGGTGGTGTGTAGTCGTATGGACGTGGAGTCGGTCCCGGTTTGAGCGGACCGAGTGACATCCTGCTGCTGCGCCTGGCGAGAACGGGGCACGACCCTGGTGTCGCCGCTCGTGGAGGTACTGTATTGGCAGTGTCTTGCCGCTGCTGAGCGAACCACCAGCCAGAGCAGCAGCAGCCACCGTTGTCGTGCGGCTGCCGCCATCCTTGGCTTACTGATGCGGATACATGCTTCCTAGTCATATTCTACGTGGAGTAGGCCGCCTGCGCTATCGCCTCTTTCACCAGTTTGTTCTGATCAGCTTCGCTCTGATCGTCCTAGTTCTTTGGCGTGTAGGCACAACGACAAATCTGAACTTTCTGGAAAAAGCTGAACCTCACCCCGCACCAGTGGCCGACATAACCGTACAGACTGTGCAGGAAGAAGCACAGCCCACCACAGCAGCACCACCAGTGCGAAAGGTACTGTGCCAGCACAAGCCCTTGGTGAACCTGAGCGACTCAGCTGGTCGTGGGCAGACGGCACTAGTGACTGGGGTGGGTGGATTTGTTGGCTCGCACGTCGCTACGTACTGCCTCAACACCCTCGGTCTGAACGTGATCGGCCTCGATGATCTCTCCAGCGGTAAGTTAAAAAACGTACCGGACGGAGTGCAGTTCATTCGCGGCAGTGTTGGCGACACAAAGCTGCTGCATCGACTGTTTGCATCCTACAAGTTTGACTACATTTATCACTTGGCAGGACACGCAGGCGAGCTCATCTCCCATCATGTGCGATCATTCACCTACACGAATGAGCTGGTGGCCTCGGCAAACCTGCTCAATGCTGTCGTGCGCGCCGGCGGTACAAAAGGGTTTGTCTACTTGTCGACGACGTCCGTGTATACGGACAGTAGCCTGGACAGTCTGGACAGTAGCCTGGAAGAGAGTGGCAAGCTGCACGTCCACACGGAGAGCAGCCACACATCGCCAATGTCACCGCTTGCAATTGCCAAGCTAGCCTTTGAGCACGACCTCCGAGCTGCGCAGCGCTCGTATGGCCTTGCATACACCATTCTGCGAGCGCACAGCTTGTACGGTCCAGCTCAGAACCTCCAGGATCCGTATCATAGTGTCATTTCCTCCTTTATTCGCCAGCATCTCAATCAGCAGCGCACACGACCGGTCACCATATATGGTGACGGCACGCACAGCCGGGCATTCACCTATGTCACGGATATAGTTCCCTTGATCAGCATGAGTCCGTTCTTGCCCGCAGCCGAGAACCAGATCATCAACGTTGGCAATGACGAGCAGACTAGCATCAATGCCTTGAAGGAGATGATCGGTGATGCACTGGGTCGACCGCGTCCAGCCACCTATGTACAGTCGCACAGTGAGCCACAGACCATCAAAGCTGATCACACTAAGATGCGCTGCATCTTCGGCGCGTGGCCCATGACTAGCCTGCAGGAAGGACTATCGCGTCTTCTGCCGCACGTCATGGCCAGCTTCTCCGGCAAGGAGAACATCCAGTCGATCTTGGACGCCAGGCAGATTCATCACGTGGAGCTGGCCGACGGTATAGATGTGCAGTCGTGGGAAGGTCATGAGGTTGACGTGGTCAATGCTATGCCACTCTCCGACACTGAACGAGATAGAGCTCAGGCTGGTCCTTGGCCCGCGGAAGACCGTACGTAGTGCTAGAATGGGCTATGCTAGAATGGGCTATGCTGTGCTGAACTACTAGTTATTCTATTGCTGTTCTCAGCGCTTGCTTTAAACGTTAACGTTTTCGTCACGGGTAGCGTGGTTGAGGTCACTTTCTCTCTTAGCTGTTGTACATACACGCAGGCAAAGTGCTAATAACCGTGAGTCGTGTGTCGGTCTTCCTACTGGTAACAGTTCTACATGTGTTGTGTGCTGTCATGGCGCAATGTGTTGTGCTGCAACCCCGCGGCTTGGACAATATACCGCGGCCTCCTTTTTCCATTAGCTATCTTATATCCAATTCAATATCCCATAGACCAAAGACCCAATAACGTTACTACCCTTCTATAACGTTAGCAACGACAATATTCATCCCGTTCCCAAACTGCCTGTGGTGTCATACAAAACCGCACATGCTCGTGTTTGCGTGCGTGAATGTAAAATGAAGAGAATAGAAGGAAAAAGGAGAAAGAAGGAGGACCAAGGAGTAGGGGTTCGCTTCCACAGCCGTGTCTTTTGCCAGTGGTAGGACATTGGTATGTTGTCAAAAAGGGCATCCATGCTCTTTTTGGGTGTCTATGCCTTTTTCTGATGGGGTGAAATGAACCTGTCATATCCAGGCCCCATGTTAGTTCTGTACTCCGGCGCGTGTTATAATTTACTCTACCTACCTAGTCCAGGTAAACTCGCCTGTGAGCGCCTTGCGCAGTGTTGCTGCTGGTCAGTTGTTACGCTTGTCTGGCACACACTGCCTCACGGTCGCTGGTATACTGCCGCACAGACTAGTACAAGTAGTGGCTGCATTACCCTTTCTACGCACCGACTCTGTGCTGCGAGATTCCAGGTTCGCTTCCCCAGGATTAAAAAAAAAACACAGCTTGAAAGCAAGCCCTTTGAATGCACCACAAGCAACCAAAGCGTCCGGATGCGCAGCTCTATGTATTGTGGGCCAGTTTAAATCGTGGTAGTCGATTCTGACGCCTTGCCGCAAGAAGGGTGCAATTCCAGCACAATCTGCTAACACAGTTTCTGCTGTAGAATTGCTGTCAACGTCTCTGGTGTTGGGAGTCTAGTGTCACAGAAATGTGTGTGTGTGTGTGTGTGTGTGTGTGTGTGTGAGTGTGTGTGTGCGCGCGCGCGTGTGTGTGTGTGTGTGTGCATGCATGGACGTCAGAGCCGGCCCAATAATTATATTGTGGCCGATTTTCTGCTCCTCGGTCACCCAATTTCCCCAGGGAGGTCCATGGACCATCTATTAATCAATTTACTGAGTCCTTCGGGCGAAGTTCAGGCAGTGGAATAGTGTTTCTGACAACCATGGTGTGTGTGACGTGTGTATGTGTGTGTGTGTATGTGTGTGTGTGTATGTGTGTGTGCATGTGTGCGTGTGAGTGGTGTGCGTGTGTGCATGTACCCTTGGCATGTATTGGGCACAAGTTCTGTTTGAAATTGGAGTGGTTGTGGGATTGCAAGCCCAATTAGCATCTCATGAGTCATGACAGCCGCTTTGGTGGTGTGGCGGCAGTGCACTTCAACGGCAACACAACAACTCGTTCTGCATGGGGGTTTCAACACCTTGCCATCAATTGTCACTTTAACAATCAAACACCTCACCTGTTCATCCCTTGCTGACCTTATTATGTTGAGACTAATATGCTATGCGCAAAATGTGTATACCATAGAGCTAGAGGTCGAGGGGCAGTTTTGGTGAGCACGTTGAGCGCCATGTGATTGGCGGTGGCCTCACGGTCACTGCGGTGGCATGTACAGTCAGACCTCGCTTAACCGCACACATCTGTTTTCCACAAAAATATCCAGATAGGCGAGGGAACCGGATAACTGAACACACACACACTGTATATGCATGTGGCATGTCATATGCAGTGACATCGTACATACATGTAGACGGGTCCTATGCAGTACAACTAGCGTGCACAGTATGTAAAACAAGCGAGAAAAATGACAAGTGCATGCAACTGAGTGCTGTCCACATGCACCCAGCAGGTCAAGGACCTCATTTGCCTGTACAACTCTCTGATTCTAGCTTCTGCAAGCCACATGCAACCGGATACGACGAAGCTTTTTGTACACATTTTACCCAGTTTGTACACAAAATCATGCACCGGTATGCGGATCGCGAGGTCCGGTTATGTTGTATACATAACATATGCTGCACATCGGTAACCAGCGATTTTCTTCCGGATGGCGAGGGATCCGGATAAACGAGGACCGGATAAGCGAGGTCTGACTGTAGTCACAAGCGGGCACTATGAACGCATATAGATCTACCAGGTACATGTACATGTATTAGCAAGAGGAAGGTTTATGTACTCTTGGTATTAGCAATTCCATCGAGGCAGGTGCACATGATGACTCTGTAACCATAGCACATGTAGGAACGGTCGGTGTGTACTAGCAAGAGTACATACTCAAATGCCCCCCCCCCCCCCCCAGGAGGTGGTATGTACTCTTGGTAGTAGATATGCCATCCACGGTTACCACGGTTACACATGTGACTAGTACAACATGCAACTGTAACCATAATCTCGAGGCCCAAACATGGGTGCAGTAAATCCTCCTGATCCTGGATACGTACAAGATTTCATGAGAGTAAATGCCAGGACATTTCCTGTCCAGATGAACGGAGAAAAGTGACTCCCAATTGCAGTAAGAATGCTTATTTCACTGTTATCTTACTGCAAACCGGAATTAATCAATGTGTCTGGTTGACGCAAATCAGAATTCCTTGGCTCTGCATCAGGTCAACACAAAAGTCATGAACCATCTGTTCGGACTACATGTCGAACAGAGAGTTTTGTACAGAGGATCATACTCAATACAACTCCCTGGACTGGAACGAGCACCCTTGGTCTTCTCAGAGACTACTCTAATCTGCTCGTGCTCAAATGCCAGCCGTGGCAGAGAACTGCTACCACTTCTGGATAGGTATTCCAGACTGTGCTAAGTCTGCTGGTTCTGCATCATAATGACTAATCTGCTGTGCAGGGTATACATGGTATAGCAAGCAGGAAGTACTTGCTGGCACCCACCTACACTGTGACAAGCCAGACTGAGCAGCCAGCCTGCATGCACAGGAATAGTCACTTCCTGCAGCCAGCCTGCATGCACAGGAAGACACAATGAATAAAGAATGAGTAGAGGACATCCAGATTCATGTAATGTAAATCGGAGAATTCATCAACGACATGCCAGTAGTAACACCCGAAACAAACATGCCAGTAGTAACGCCTGAAACAAGGAAGTCATCTTATGGGCAAAAGAAAACTGGAGTGCCCGGGGCCAAACGTCTCAAATCTCTCAGAGCAGAAAGTGTTGGCGCGGATCCAGCTACGGCAATCATCATCAAAGTAAGGAAACAAAACTCTGAAGCACATAACGTTATGCACAATGGTAAAAAAGAAAAGCACCTGGACCGGCTAAAACACACGCACACACGGGCAATTGCATGAGACTGTGCAGCATGTGATGGCAAGGGCACTAATCACAGCATGTGTTAGTACAGAAAGTAGGCATATGGATTCATGCCACGGCTAGCTGCCTATGCACGTCCAAACCAATGTACTTTGCCATTGGAGGACACAAGGCGACGGCAGCTCGTGCAGGAGAAGCGATGACAGAGACAAGGTGGTGCGTCGCAATCACAGCGGTCCGGACCAAGCACAGCTGGGGTCTAGTCAGTTTTCTTGTCTTGTCCGCCAACTTGTTCCTGCAATCGGCAGAAGAGGTGAAGAGCTTTTCTTGTTTTTAAAAAGGTTATTGCATGTACAACGTGAATGTCACAGATACCGGTATGTACAACGTGAATGTCACAGATACCGGTGGTATGTAAGGAAAGAATTAATTGTTTTCCTTGCTCACCATCTGAGTTCTTAACACTCACAATCAATCTACATTTTCCCAAGGAGAATAGAAGCACAGAACAATCGTTGCCAAGCCAGCTATGTGGCCCATGCCAACTGGCAAATGGTGCCCACAATGAAGTCTACATGTACTCACTACGCACCGCTCCCAGAACGGTGCCCGGTAGAGGCAGGTGACTGGATTGGGTAGGGTCGGATAAGGGAAGCTTGAGTGTAAATTAGACATGGTTAGCCTTTCACCGTTCACGCTAACTTCGACCGTTGGCCTGTACCGTTTTTTTGTGTGTGTTTCAAGACATGGTTAGCATTTCGGTTTCTGACACAAAGATTGACTTGTGACGTAACCCTAGTTGGAATCTTACCGTTTCGTTCTCCCGTAAACAGAGCTTTCTATCGTCGAAACGATACCAAACCCACGGTATTCTGGGTGCTGGGTACGAGTACCGTTGGATTTAGTGTGAACGGTAAAACGCAAACCATGTCTATTGTGCGCCCTTGAAGCACTTTGGAGATCGGAATCTCTTTCTCCAAGACAAAGATGGCTAGCATACCTGAAGCTGAGAGTGCTCCTTGAGAAGGCGGTCATACTCTCTGTTGGTACTCTCTGCCTGGGCTTTGATGGCCTCTAGAGAAGCTTGTGCAGACTCCAGCTCTGCAGGCAGCCACAGCCAAAAAAAAACACATCTCAACACACAGACAAGAGAAGCTTGTGACAATGGGAAACCCCGCACAAAATACCAGCACCCGCTTTCCTCACCAATCAATGGAAAATCAGTCCCAGTACATTGTATATTTATAGCAAACACTATCAGTACATGGCAAGGTCTTTTTGGTTATTCAGTTCCCTCTCACCCATCTGCATAACTCTGTGCGAAAGCAAATGAGTGAACTTTTGGAACTAGAATGTGAGGCTTTCCTGAAGCTGCATCCAAGTTTGGTCTCAAACATGTTGAAGCAGGCACAGAGTGACTGACGTGTTCTTACCTTTGCTCTTCTCACGCAGCTGGTCACGTAGCTTGGTCACATCAGCTTCACTGGTCTCACTGCTGGCAGCAGCAGCAGCAGCCTTGCTACCACTGGTCTTGCTGCTTCCAGATCTCTGCAGTACACATTGATATCAGCACAACTATATAAACAACAGTACAGTCAACGCACAAGCCAAACTTCTGGTTGCGCTGCTTGTGCGTATCAACACAATCGTAAGACGGTTGAAACTCAGACATGCCAACTTTACTTTACTCTCGCACAAGAGAGTTGCCAGGATGAAGACCTCCCAACTAGTTTCTCGACTGAAATATACGATAGGGGTGACAAAAGAAGTCTTGAGATCTTTGCAGGGAACTCTTCGAATGAAGCACCATGTCCAGCAGCTTACGTCCCACAAACAGATTCTGCGCGGACACTTCATATGGTGCTCTAGACGGCGCTGATGGCTCCATTGCTCCGGCACCACTTCAACTCTTCGACATTGCTGAAGAGGAAACCACTGACTATTGACTAAGTTATTTACTAACGACAAACGAAGAGCGCTACTAAAGAGCGCAAGTGAACCTCAGCAAGTTAACCTCAGCAAGTGAACCTCAGCAGAGGAAAAGGGAAGAACGAGATACATGTAACAGAGCTTCCCAGTCAGAGGTGAGAAACGATCCAAATCGAAGAAAAAGAAGAGCGCTTTTGCAAAACGTCGTCAACAATGGTCAAGTACGTTCTCTACTCTACTTTGTACTTGCACCATGCACTCTTCCTTGCACTCTTCCTTGCACTCTAGCTGCAACTGTATGAACTCCGTATACAATGTGTACAAACTCCGTACATATGCTATCAAGTAAATTCACCAGGCTGTCCATATAAAAAAAATTCAATTTTTTTTACAGCGTTTGACAGGTGGCACAGCCCGTGGGAGTGTATGGTTGGCAAAGTGGTTAAGAGCATTGGCCTTCCAAACATGAGGTCGCAGGTTTGATTTCCAGTTCGAGAGAAGATTATTTCATCCCATGCAGGAGACCCATCTGGGATTGGGTGGCTGCGGAGGCAACGGAGACGAGGGAGAGGAGATGAGCACTGCATCCACTCCACTACGTCGAGCTCATTGAAACAGGAGGTCTCTAACATCTCTTGCCCCAGCGGCCAAAATCGACTCTGGGCTACCATTACATTTACCGTACTGCCTTTGAGTGACATGCAGCAATCGCTGATAAGGCCGACCCTGGATAGTACAGTACAACTGACAGCAATTTACTTACAGCAGAGCTGGCGCGCAGATCAGCATTCTCGTCCATTAGCCGTTCAGATTGTGTCGAGGCAGAGCGCGCCTGTTGCAACGCAGCCTCCTCGCGGGCCGTCACCGTTGCAAGCTGGGAGAGCAGCTTCATCAAACGGTTTACGACACTAACAGCAGAAATACAGAGAAAACAAAACAAAAACAAAAACAACAGCCGAGCGGGGCTGAAATAAGAACGAAATAGAGAGAATGCTGGGCCATAATGACAGAGGAGGGAAACACGCAATAAGAAAACGAGAGAAATTTCAAGATGCTACTGCTACTGTAGAGCAAAACATTGTTCAAGACAATACGGAGGTTTAGCAAGACGAAATTCGCGTTTGCACTCCAAGGAAAGTCGAACTCAGTGACGGAATTCGCGTTATGAGAAGGATTAGCAAACAGAATTTGCACATGCATGACGTTGACACGTCGTACATGTACATGATTGTGTACAGACAGTACAGCGTAGTAAATTTATGACTGTCCTGACACGAATCCGCGATTCGTGTTTCGACTACTTTTCCGAATAAAAAATGCGAAAGTTCGCAATCCAGTTCGCGAACCGAAAAAGGTTCACGAACTTGAAGGCGAAATTTCAAATTCGCGACGCTAAACCTCCGTATTACTATACTACATGCACATCTACATCATGTAGAAAGGAAAAGGACATATGGATACGAGTTAAGAGTAACTCTCCATCACTGTAACCAGATACTTTATACAGGAGAGTTACTCTTAACTCGTATCCATAATTATGTCCTTTTCCTTTCTACATTTATTATTGGCTCAACATCCGAGTTTCAACATGTACATGTATTACACATTTATGGAGGATTTGTATGCCTGCACACACTGCACTGTACGTGCACTAGCAGTAGCACTGTGGCAGTATAGATGATGATGTCATCACGATCAACTGTTGTCGGCTCTCTTTTTATTTTCGCTCGTGGCAGTGAAGCAGTTTTCTGAGTCGTAATCAACCCCCAGTAAACGTCTCTCTGATTTTTCATAGATGTAAGTTCAAATATTCCTGAAAGGATCGGCCTTCTTGTGCTTGAAATCGATCATCGCGTTCCAGTTCTCAAAAAAGGAATCTCATGAGCAGGGTTCGTACAGAGTCTTGAAAGTCTGGAAAAAGTCTTGAATTTGTAAATCTTAATTCCAGACCTTGAAAAAGTCTTGATTTTGACCTGAATGACACTTTGTCTAGAAAAAATCTGGGATTTTGAAAACATGCATGCAACAGTGTTGTAATGTACAATACTGGTCTGGTACTGGCACACGTCATAGATCTGCTCCAAGCTGCGGCAGTGGCTTGCACCCACGCGGCGCATGTGCCCCTGTGGTCCACACAGTACAGGCAGTCACACTACAAGTACAAGTCAGCGTGTAGATCTACTAGTACTCTGCAACACGATCGGTCATGGACGGGTGCGCGCAGCACATGATCACTGCCGCATGCCTGCTACAACTGTAGTGTTTGCCCACGCGGCCACTGCACACGGATTGTAGGCTTCGCGCTTGTACTGTTGTTATGTAGAATCTACTGTCGTTTTGTTTTGATGTTTTGACACAAGAAAAACACAACCTGCCATGACCTTGGTGAAGTAGCTTGGATTTTTCTTGTCCTTGTCAAGTTGAAGTTTCCTGTGCCAAAGAATAAGTATGGGACGCTGTGTTTTCGGACAAATGGTTGTCCCACCTGGATTACTCTCTCTGGGTAGAGAGGAACCAGAAGGACAAGCACTCCGCCCGCTGCAAGCTTTGCAACACGACGTTTGTTATCATGACAATGGGGGAGAAAGCGCTTGTCAGCCATGCCAAGGGAGCCAAGCATAAGGAAGCGGTAAGGAGTGCGTCTGCTAGTCCCTCCGTGGCAAGTGTGTTCTCAGCCAGGTCCCGAACTGCAGCGCCACATTCTTCATCGGCGGCAGCGGAAAGTTTGTCCTCGTTTGTGTCAAGCACTCGGGAGTTGGAGGCAGAAGTTCTATGGGCGCTGAATGTATCTGACAAACACCTACCATTCCGTAGCTGCGAGGGCCTTGGCGGTCAGTCCGGCCTCTTCGCAAAGATGTTTCCAGACAGTAAGATCGCGACCAAGTTCTCCAGTGCGGAAACAAAGGGTCGTTATTTGACAATGTTCGGTATTGGGCCCTACTTTCAGGAGTTGCTGTTGTCAAGAATAAAGTCCGCTGATCATTTTGTGCTGTGTGTGTGTGTGTGTGTGTGCGTGCGTGCGTGCGTGTGTGTGTGTGGCGGTTGGTCTAAAATGTTACACTTGGATGGGTCTGGAAATGGGTCTTGAATTTTGTGATGGCTTTTCTGTACACACCCTATGATGTTCCCACGTCTTGATTTTTGTGCATTTTTCTATCACATAGCATCAAAATGAACACTCACGCCCAGGTCCTGACAGAGATATGTCGTGCTGGGGGTATGAAGTTGTCCAAGTGCTCTCACAAGACTCAAAACATGCCGCCGCCACAGGCCCACCAGGCCAACTTATTGCACGTGACCATTGCGTGCCGAAAAACGCGTTGCTGTGTACACGCTTATCGTTCTCGTGTAAACAACAAAACGTTTCGACATGTTCTTTCTCTCTCGAAATATTTTTTTCCTTCAATAAGACCAGCTTGGCGATCGGACTCTAGCTCTTTGCAAGCTTCATTTCAAAATTTTCATTCCCCTCGGCGCGGCCAAGGCGGCACAGCGTTTTACTTCGGTTTCGGCGTAAAAATGACAGAAACGAAACAATTCCCCGTTAACAATAGAAATGAGAAAGATGCACAGCTCAAGCTAATGTCGATTCACATCCATGTCTATACCCACCAACACAGACGCACGCACCCACACACGCAAAAAAAACAACGGCCACTACCACGCCCCAAAAGGTGCAAGCACAAATACAGCGACCACATGTTTACTCACAGCAGCAAGAAAAGAGAGAAACCGGTGATGTAGAGGTTTCGTTGGGCAAGGAACATCATAGCACCTGGATCTGGCCCCACGCCGATACCTGGGCGACCGGCAGTTTTGTACTCCTCATATTGTTGACGATACTTGAGCATTTTGTTCACCGAATCTACACATACAAACACCAAAGCAGTAGGAGACATCACATCACTTGCGGACGTTAATTAAATGTGGCTCCTCCTCGGGACTACACAGCCCTAGCACTACAAACACTGATCTGCGCACTCAAACGCGGCGCTATTTCATTCGTGAGGTTGGATTTCTCTGGCCAGCACTGTAGTAATGCAGGAAAACAGCATTGTTCAGTTGAATTAGAGATATATTTGAATTGCTGCTCTATACTTGGAAGCGAAACTTCTCTAAGCTGGTTGCGTTGCTCAACACAATTGTACAGTCGGTAGTACTGTAAGACATGTTATTATAACGAGTCGCAAATTTAACGATTGTCCAAAATTCATAGGTTAACGAGAAGATATGTTAACGATCTTGCAGTATTCTGCCATATCCACACACAGCATATATGAAGCAGTACGGCTTCAACGGATCTTATTATAACGAAGAAATGTCGTCCGTTAAAACGTTAGATTTGCTTCCTCGTTATATATACATGTCTTACAGTAACGCGAATGTGCGAACTGTACTTTTTTTACTAGGACAATTGAATTGCCAAATTGAATACACAGATGAATACAAATATCCCCCAAAATGGCACGCGTCGGTACACAAGCCAGGGGACAGTGCTCGGCAACACAGTTCTTCATCGCCGTATATCGCCGTTGATGAGAGTCTTATCTTTTACCTGATCATCTCTTGTACTCTTGTGGTTGTGTGGTCGAAACAACTGTAGAAACTTGAAAAGGCGGCACATTCTGAGATTCCTGCGATATCTAGCCAGGGAGGCTTCCTCAAGAATCGTGAGGCGTACATCACCCATGCGTTTGCACGCTGTGCTGTCCGCGGGAATTTGCGGACAATTTCTCGAAAACTTGCGCAAGAAGTTGCGGCAGAAAACAACAAGAAATGCACCGAAAAGTGCGGAAAGTTGCGGAACTTTCCAGGAATTCGCGAAGGTATTTTGCAGAAAATTGCGGATTTGGGCCAAATCACAAAACGTTTTCCATCCGCAGAATCGCTTTTTGCGCAGTAGATCTAGTACTGGAGAGTAGTACGAGTCTACTGTGCAAATATTAAACCGACATGGAAAGCCCTGCCTGGAAAGTGCATAAAGATGTAAAAAGAGTGCAGAAAACAACAAAAAACGCGGGGAAATCGCGGATTTTGCAGAAAACGCGGGAAATTGCGGATTTTGCAGAAAATCGCGGGTTTGGGCTAAAAATGCGAAATTTGTTGCATCCGTGGAATCGCGATTTCCTGGAGGGACAGGCCGTGTCCCCTCCCGGGTTTATGTGACTTCCTGCCTTGCGCACAAAATGTACTTGTGGACCCACCCATGCGTATACAGTAGTAGGATGCCAATTATTCGAACGTCAACTACCGTAAAGTCGCGGATAAAAGCCGGGCTTATAAGCATAAGTATAAGCCGCTTTCTGCATCAGGCTTTAACCCTTTGAGGCGATAGTACGGATATATCCGTACCAGTGTACAGTGCATACTTTTCAAAGCGCAACCTGGCGTAACTCGGCTGTCCCTTGACCAAATCGGACAATCGAAAGGGCATTAGAATTGTCTCAGCTATCGGCTCGGAAAAACCCGAAAGCGATCCGAGTTCGGAGAGCGGAGATACAAGACTCGAACTAAATTCGCTCAGCAGAGTCAACTCGAGCGCGTGCATTTTGAACTCTTTTTAGGGGTTTTCCCTGACTCGCGGCCCACGCAGCTACAGATAGTTCACGTCATCGCAAAGGCACGTTTCTCAGCTCCCCAGTAAAAAAAATTGAGCGATCTGTGATGCAATTTGTTGAAATGGCAGAGAATTTGAGTTGGGCGCTCGCAATGCTGGCTTTGGAGCGCCGTATCGCGCTGCGGCGCTGGTTCTGTGGATCGAGTGATGTATTGCTAGCTATCGCTGTGTTCCTCTGGCCAAGAGCTTTCCAGAAAGCCCAAGATCACCAAAATAGGCCAAAGGACACAAAGTTACGACCAGATAAGTACCTGGGCTCGCGTATGCAGTGCATTTCTTGAAATAATTGTGGGCCCTAAAGGGTTAATGCAAACCAGGCTTGTATGCAAACTATGCTTATATGCACCACTGATATTTTTGCCAGGCTTGTACGCACATAGAAGCCAGGCTTCTACTTGCAACACGCGTAGATCTACCCCTGACTACCGGTATGGCGGCAGTTTTACTATGCACCGTACATAGCGCATGCACTCTTGACCTACCCGATCCGCGCTTGCATAGAAGCCAGGCTTCTACGCGCGACAGGCTTATAATGCATTTGACCCGTTTGATTTTCAGGCTTCTATTCGCGATGTGCTTGTATGCAAACCCGGCTTTTATCCGCGACTTTACGGTATCTGACATGCGTGCTTGCATTGAATCGAGGGGTAGAAAATGATGTTTTGCTGATTTCCCCCCTCGGAGCACCATTCAAACGATGTACAGGATGTATTATGACAGATTGGTGTGAACATGTATAACCACAGTGTCATTTTGAGGAGCCGGAGTGCGCCTAGTTCCTGCTGTGCCGTGGAAGGGAATAAATATGATGAAAACATGCGGGAAATGCATGTTTTAGATAGATGTGTGACTGCTCCCTTATCCAAACATTCCTGTCATCCGAACCCCTGGTGACAGTCGGCGACCCGAGGGGTACGGATAATCGGCACTCCACTGTACATGTAACAGGAGGATTCTGCTCAGATAAACATCAACACAGAAAGAGCTGTACATTTACACACTCTGAAGATTCTGTACTCTTGTTTGTACTAACATTGCTTACCGTAGTTCCGCGCATATAAGCCCATGGGCCTATATCCGGATATAAGCCCACCTCTGTTTATAGGCCCATGGGCTAATAAACAGACCTGAACACCGTAGTACAGCATGTCAGTGCAGACTACATTACAAGTACCGGTACCTACAGTAGGCGGACAACCGCACACGGATTTGTACTTTTTCGCGAGCCAGCTGCCTTCAAAATTCGAATATAGGCCCAGGGCTAAAAAACGAACCATTATTACTGATTTTTTCCCGGAAAATGCATTATTTCTTATATTAGCCCATGGGCTTATATGCGTGGAACTACGGTATATACACTTGGGACCCTGGCTTGTTCAGCAGCTGTAGACTTGGGACCCCTGGCTGGAGGATTTAAACTGTGACAGTCCCCATGAGTCACAACCTGTATGGTCCCTGCCTAGACCATACAATGATCTAATCATGCAGTTTACACACACACGTAACTGGCTCACTCTGAACTGCTCTGAACTCGGAATGTCATTATCTTCAACCAGACTCAGCTGCAGCAAGAGAAGACTGCCTCCGAACAACCCAAAACCAACTTCACACGAGCATGCATCTCTAGTGCGCATGCTCGTGAGAAGTCATAATAATATGACTTGACTGAGGGACACAACACAACCCTAGCCACGCACTCAGCTCACAGATGCAGGAGAAGGAGAGGGGGTGTCACTTCAATAATGCTTACCCACAAACAGCAAGACAAGGAGCAGAAGTAGAGTGTAGAATGACGCTGACGCATGCTTCTTCAACATTGATACGAAGCGAGAGCTGAAGATTTTCTTCCATCTGATCGCAGCCAAGAAAAACGGAGGATGAAAACAACCATCCATCAATTATATTACGTAACTAGGAATATCCTCCACTCATCAGATTCTGTTTCCGAAATACCTTGTAGCAGATACGAATTCCATGCACAACAGAAAGACAAGTGCAACTTCCAGGTACAAAAACCAAGCCACCAGCTGCCACTGGAGACCCATATTCGAAGATTTCAGAAGCTCTCAACCTAAACGTCAAAGGCTTTTCTAATACAGGTCTGATGGAGAGCAGACTATTTCCTTCTGAGAAGATTCTATTCAGACTATTGGACTTTCGAATTTTGTTTTGCTTGACACAGGTTTGTACACCTGCAGTAAACGTACACGTTACTTTTGATTTGAACTCGAGCTGACTTCATGAATGAACTTGCGCACATGAAAAACGTGGAAAGTGACGTAATTGGCAATCAGGTGCGGTTTTTGGAGCGTTTTGAGGAAATGTCAATCAATAATCAATGAATTCAATCGGTGTTATCCTAAAATCCTTTGCAAATAGAGGAATTGTGCGGGAGTCGCACCGTGATGTTGGGTTTTACTCCAAAGCCTGCAAAGGAGCACCCGGCGGCCTGGATCGACAACGCCAGCCGAGTTCGTTCATGAAGTGCCAACATTTCTCCAATGTAGATATTTCTTGGTGAATGGAAGGATGAAGACGTTTCCCCTTTGCCCTGATGGCTCTGAAAAGCACTCCTTGAAAGAAAGATAGCTCTATCGATGTCCAGCACCTGATCTTGAATGGAATGGCTGGAATGGATACTTGTGTACGGTCCAACCTGCCGAGAATCGGTATTTTTGGAACAGGATGGACTGCTCGAATGTTAGTTCCCATTTTAGTTGATAATGGATTTCAAGTTACCGCTATTTGTGGCAGGAAGAAGGAGGCTGCTGGACGAGTTGGAAATGATCTTAACATTCCCTTTAGAACAATTAGTTTCCAGGAGTTTCTGTTGGCTTCAGAAGTGGATTTAGTTTGCATAGTGTCGCCCCCTCATACACATGCAGAGATGGCTGTCAAGGCCTTGTCAGCTGGAAAGCATGTCTTCTGCTCATTTCCCATGGCTCTAACGCAAAGTGAAGCGGAGAAGATGGTCACTGCAGCACGGTACTATCCCAGCTTACTTGCCATGTGCCCAAATCCACTTCGGCACCTTCCCGCATTTGTCAAAATGAAGGAGATGATCTCGCAGGGATTCTGTGGCAAGCTGATGGTGTGCGAAGTGGTCGTAAGACGAGGGCCATTGGTACATCCCAAGGGCTTCACGTGGATATGTGATCAAACAATGGGTGGTGGTATACTGAGCACTGTGGGCAGCCATGTTATCGATATTCTGATGTACCTGACGTCGGAGAGAATACGAGAAGTTAATGGTCAAGTCCGAACGCTAGTCAGACAACTGCCCGGTAAGGTTGAGGGATTCCGTTCGATTGATAGTGACGACTTCACCACATTTACACTGTGCGGTGACAGTGGGCTTCACGCAACAGTGACTTTAAATAGCCATGTGCCAAACCAGTTCAGCCAGGAGATGCTGATGATCGGTGAGCGCGGCCGTCTGATTGTGCGCGGATCAGAGCTGTTTGCGCAGGCAAGCAATGAGCAAAGGGAGCGTCTGATTGTGCGTGATGACAGCCCTGGTGGCGCGCAGTGTAGTTCAGGTGATGATCTCGGTATGCCCTCTTTGCTTTTGCGCGGCACCGAGCAAGCTGTTGCTCTGATGCGCCGAGGGTTTGAAGCATCGCCGGCGCGCATGCAAGCTGATCGAAGTATGGTAGCCACATGCTCGACGTTTGAAGACGGTCTGTTTGTCAATGCCGTCATAGATGCAGTCAATGACTCCAGTGCATCCGGCCGCTTGCAGCAGATAGTGGTTGGCGGGAAGGAGAGCCAGCGTAATCCATTCTGGACATCGAATGGGGGTGATGGTGATCGTGGATCTCCAATGCCTAGTAGTAAGTCAGCGCTTAGTTGAGGCTAGCTTCCAAGATTAGTCTAGGCTCGTCTTCTCGGACTGTTGTTTTCTACAAAATATCAAATATATTCTATATTCCTGTTACCTGATATTCTTCTTGGTTGGCTGGGGACACTCCACTCCTCACCCTAGGACTCCCAGCCAGGTTATGGTTCTGTCTGTCATGCTTGATTGTGCTTCGTTTAGGTCACATATGCTACTGCAAATTCCACTACGCTCCCAATGCTAATGCGTACATATATTATTATTATTATTATGTCTTTTTGTCACACTTGGTACTTGGTGTTTGGAGCGCATGAAATTTTTATGTAGGGAAGCCCGTGTATGCCGTTCTGTGCATCTTGGCTTCCCAGTATGTTCTTGTTCCTTTTTTAAAGTGTGGATTAAGAACTAACTCGCCCGAACGAGAGGTTATTTTCTATTCCCAGTATTCCTTGTCTTCTCTTCTCCTGTTTGATCAGTACTCAGCTTATCCTTGACGCTCATAGTTGTGCTTTTTGTTTTGTCTGTGGAAATTCTTATAATTTCAAATCAGCTTTATCAGCAGTCTTAGGCACACATCATTATCGCATTGTTGTTGACGAAAAAAGTATAATAAAAAAAAACCTTCACTGTGTTGCTCTGCTCGTGTGATCACAGCTGTTGATCTGTCTGTAGGCCATGATTACATAGGCACATTCTGCACTTTTGCCGTTTCGGCTTGAAGTGGTGAGCCAGTCACATGTGTGCAGGAGTTCTACTATTGCCTGAGTATTGGGCCAGTAACAGTACTGGCTAGGGGCCATGCCAGTGAGGGATAGTTGTAGGGCTCCTTGCGCTTGCTGAGTCCCTGGGTCTTTTTTTTATGAACTCACGTGTGTTATTTGAATGATGGGGTTGGCCTGTCACTGGCTGTTGCCTGGCAACAATCACGCTGCATGTGACGCTGATCCCAGAGAGCAAAACTTTGCTTCAGGAAGTTAGTTCAGCTGTGTCCAGTGAGGTACACGGGTGGTTGCAGTGTTGTGGTTGTTTCCGAAGGAAGTCAGAAGCAAGAGCTCTAAATTATATTTGACAAAAGCTGATCCGACAAGGCTGTGCATGTAGATTTGACTTGGCCGTCGTGTGTTAGCTTGAGCTCGACTTCAGATCTGGTAGAGCCACACGTGGGGAGAAGGTACTCGTATCGGCAGTCTCGGAGCTCCACTGTCTGATTTACCTCCTTACTTTCTTACAAGAACCATGGCGTAAGTGCTTGGTTGTCAACCGGCCGTCAGGAGCAGCGATGCAAGACGCTATGTTACTCCGAGATCGGTTTTGACGACCGGATGTCTCTGTTACGTAATATTCTGGTGTGGCTGCAGGTCGTCCGACAACTCTCGCATCGAACAGACCCAGAACCAGGTCAATGAGGTGGGTGAACACCTCGGGTGTCTTCTCGGTGCATTTCACTTCATGACATGCTCCTGAGTATTCAACAATCACATCCTTCGAAGTACTGTTGTCAGTGCAATGGACGTACCTGTAGATACACACATGCACAGCCAAAGGACATGCATCGAAACAGTATGGCTTGGGATTACTGTACTCGCACGATTAGTGCCCCTGGGGCATTTTTTCAGTCCACACACTCACAGACAGACGGGGTATAATTCAAGAGAGGCTGGGGCTTCACAGTCCAGCGGGGAGTGGTACGACGGGGGGAGGGGGGGGGGTTGGTGCGGGGTCCGGCGGAGGGAAATAAAACGTTTTTTTTCAGTCAACAGAGCACGTTTTAGCGCTCTGCATCGCTCTGGGCGGACCATCCTGGACGAAAAGTGGTACGGCCATGATCATACTGGTCGTACCGTGTGCGACGCCCCTGAGAGGGTACTTTTTTCAATGCTGGTACATGTACGTACGTAATACTTGGAAAGTGCACCCAGAAACATGAACACACGCTCACATACACAGGAAGTGACCGGTAACAGGTGATGAACAGACGCATGTACATTGCTGGCCAATTGCTGTTTCCTCTGTGTGTGCATGTTTGCTCGTTTGCTTGTGTGTGTGTGTGGGGGGGGGGGGGGGTCTGGAGATTCCACAGTGAAACCGTTCATGGTCTGGGTTGACTACCACATGAACAGGAAGCTAGCTTTGCTGAGCAATCATGTATATGCTTCAATATTATATATATAACCCTGGCTCTGAATCCTCGCTACTGATTTTGGGCCCGTTCCTGATTGTAGCCATGCTATGCTTTGTACCTGCTGGGAGATTATTATGTGTACATGCACACATGTACGGTGTGTGTTTTGTGTGGTGTATATGTGTGTGTGTGTGTGTGTGTGTGTGTGTGTGTCACCTGTGTACACAGGTACTGGGCATTATGAAAAACAATGTGGACAAGGTGCTGGAGCGTGATGCTAAGCTAGGTGATCTGGAAGACCGGGCAGGTACGCAGCTCGACAATGTGCTCCACTCTCTAAACGAAACATGCCTAGTGCAGGAAGTCTCTGCATACCCATTCACCGGGCACTTTATTTGTTTTGTCTTTGAACATCCTGCTGATTGGCACCTTTGTACATGAAAGAAGTATCCTAAAAGCAGTGCATGACTGAGAAATTAGTTATCAGTATACATGTATCGTATAAAGTACCACCAGAGTGCCCCACCATCTCGTCCTTTCGAGGTCGTATTCTGGAGGCGATCTCCTGCCTGTAGGTCATACGACACGAACCTTGTACACATATTACACATTCTGCAGTCAATCCGTAATCAATTTACCTTCAAGCGGACACGAGCTCCACACAAAAACTGGCCAAGTGTGATATATTTTGGAGCTTTCAATTTTTTTGGACCAGGATTTCGCATAATTTTGGTTCAGAATTTATAGGGACAACAAACTTCGGTGGGGTTGCGGAAATTCCATCTGTTTTTACGCTCATTTTCTGCAGAATTGCCGCAGAATATAGAAGGATTTGCAGAATTATGGCAGAATTTACTGTTTTCAGCCACAGAAATCTGCACGGAATTTCTGATATTCTCCCGCGGAATTCACGGGGGATAGACTTCGTGCACAAAGTGTTCTCCGTGTGTTCTGCGCAGTATTTGAGTCCCTCGGGGATGCCGCCGCAGACCGTTCACATGCAATGGGGTCTGCTGAATGGCTTTGTGAGATCTGCATAATTGTACTGAGTGTGGGTACACTAGTGGCCCTGTACAATGTACTATGTACTCAAAAATGAGTGTACCAGGTACAGTCATGTGTAACTAGGTCTGCAATTGCAGTACAGTAAAACCAAGAGTATATAACCCCCAAGAGTGTGCAACACTGCATATGGGGTCTCCGACGGCGAAAACTCACATCACGTGTCTCAGATACCTTTGTACTACGTACAAACGTAGGATAGCGTGCGCACAATCCGAAAATCTGCCGTGATCATGCTGGGGATTTGCATACGCGCAGTGAGTTTCTGTCAGAGAGTGCTTTTTTTAGTACTCCGCTGCTCGCTAAAAACGGGCTGGAAACGTACAACTGCGACACTGCACCACGTGATGTGAGTTTTCGCCGTCGGCATACCCCATAGAAAGGGTATCAGGAGTTGCACACTCTTGGGGGGTTATATACTCTTGGTAAAACGTGACAGTCAAGGAGTAGTAAAATGCCGATATTTTACTACTCCCTGGTGGCAGCATTGCACTAGTGCAGAGGACATGACCTGCTTCTGTGAACCATGTACAGCCAGGAGTACAGACACAGCCATGGCATGGGCTTTATCTTGAACTAAAGGCGTTGACTTTGCAAGACCGGGCTTGTGTAAGGGGGTTTGGCATATTCTAGGTTGGGCTCACACGGGGAGCTCTTATGGGATTGTGCAGAACTTCACTGCAGTGTAATGCTTAAGTGTTGGGCAATGAACCTTGTGTGTGTGTGCATGCACATGTGTGTGTGTGTGTGTGTGTGCGTGCGCGCGCACTACAGAGCATCTGACAGCGGGAGCAAATCAGTTTGAACGCTCGGCAGGCATGATCAAGAAGAAGATGTGGTGGAAGAACGTCAAGGTGAGCACAGTACAGCGTTCGCTTTGCCTTCGCAGGAATTTTCAAAATTGTAAAGGTGAAAAAAGTGAAATAAGTCTGAACCAGGGAATAGTAAAATACATGTGTGTATTTTACTACTCCCCGGCCAGAACTCTACTTTATAACAACATGGATGGGCCATTGTTCAGGACCAACTTACATGTATCTTCTGAACAAGCAGGGTATAGCAATATTCCTTTGAGTGTACTGACGTATCAGTAAGACGTCATTCTACGTGTACAGCCAGTCGCGGATATGTTGCGACATTGGTGAAGACGATGGCAGATGTCAATAGCGATGGGGAATTGATGCCGTCGGCGCACCATATCCAGAGTGCCAAGATTGGCTCTTGTGACATACTAGTATCGGAAATACAGACATTCCTTGCTTACCTGTCAGAGTGGTCATTGATCACTGTATGTTTGAGACTAGATCAACAACTAGAGTACAATACACATACATATACAGACTGTAGTAGGGTACTGGAGTAGTAGGGTACTAGAATAGTAGGGTAGAGGGAGTTCTTGGCAAGCAGGCTCGGCCATGTCAGTTGTAGTATACGAGTATTATTGTCAGCCCGCAAATAGTTGGTATCATAATTATGAAACTGCCATATTTTACCGGTTACCGGTAAGTCGCGGATAAAAGCCGGGTTTGCATACAAGCACATCGCGGATAGAAGCCTGAAAATCAAACGGGTCAAATGCATATAAGCCTGTCGCGCGTAGAAGCCTGGCTTCTATGAAAGCGCGGATCGGGTAGGTCAAGAGTGCATGCGCTATGTACGGTGCATAGTAAACCTGCCGCCATACCGGTAGTCAGTGGAAGATCTACGCGTGTCGCGCGTAGAAGCCTGGCATACAAGCCTGGCAAAAAATATCAGTGGTGCATATAAGCATGGTTTGCATTAAAGCCTGATGCAGAAAGCGACTTATGTGCTTATAAGCCCGGCTTTTATCCGCGACGTTACGGTACAGTCAACTTCGCTAATAACGACTTCGGATATAACAACAATTCGCGAATAACGACAGAATTTCCATGCCCAGAGCAAAGTCCCATCCCACTGTGATACATATAATGAGACTTCGGGTATAACGGCACTTCGCGAATAAGGACACCTTTTTGATGCCCCGCCGAGTGTCGTTATAAGCGAAGTTGACTGTATATTAAAGTCTGCCTGCTACCATACTTTTGGCCCCTGTGTCCCGGTTTACTGGCAGTTGAACCCCAATTGTAAGTTGACTACCCCTTTCTTGGTTCGGTTTTCAGGTCACAAAAGGTTGACTTGCACCCTCTAAAATACGGTGAATGTACTTCTGGATGTCCACTCAGCAACTAGCCGTTCTGACCTTGTTTGGCATCATTATTGGAGCACAGAATGACCGGCTGAACTGATTGCAGTGGAATTTCAACAACAGGAAAACGCTTTTCATTTCGGTTCAAAATGCCAGTATCTTCTGGCTCTATGACCTCTATAAGGGTGTTTATTCCAAATGTACTGATATGCTGGTTCAGGTGTTGTTTCAATCTTTTTTTTTTTATCGCAATGGGCCATGGCCAACAAGAGATATGTTGCTGTTGCTGATGTCCTGCAGATGATGATCGCCGTTGGTGTTGTAGTCAGCATTATCATTGCCGTCATCGTCGGTGAGTGCTGTGATTTCTGTACTCGTACATTTGCTCTTACGTACATTAGTACTACACGACATATCGCTGTAGTGAGTTGTGGCTTTCTTCAGCGACTTTCCAGAATCTGAGCGTATAGCGGAAAACATCTTGGAGTTTCCAGGCATATCCACACACAACACATATTTGGCATTACAGACATAATGAAACTTATGTTAACAAAGAAACCTCACTTATTAAAGCACTAACATCCTTGTTACAAATACAAGTCCATGTCTCACAGTTGAGTATGTGTGGCACCACGCTGTTCAGCTGTGGCCTGCTACAACTTGCTGCCGGTGTGCTGTAACTTATAGGGACGTTTTAAGCGGCGCTTCACTGGCGATGAGTTGGATCGCTACTAGTTGGTAGTACATAATATTTCGTACTTTCTCAGTTAGTACAAGATAGGCACACACTATCGTATAACATGGGCACCTTTTCGGATCTCAACTCAACTTTTCAGTATTTCTCTGTAAAGTTGAATTGCATACAATGCATACTCATTGCCACCATCATAGCCAAAGAAGACCTACTTAGTAAGTGTCCATACCCATTCCAACACAATATCTAGCCAAGATAACCTTGGTCGACTACACCCGCGCACACAGCCACCGGAAACACAACATTGTAAAACAGCAGCCAGGCCACCAACCTGTACAACGTTGCAAAATAACACTGCTTGGAGGAATGTTCAAACATTCGAACAATCTAAAAATTAGTGTTGAAACGAATAATCGAATAATCGAATAATTTAGAATATTCGTGGGGTGAACGAATAATCGAATAGTCGTAGGAATTATCAGAAATCGAAAAAAAAATCTATGCTCAGTGCTGACCCTACTGATATTTGCACTGCGTAGATCTGCTCGCAGTATTTCTTCTCAATCTCTTCTCTAAGTTTTAATCACCTATCGGTATCTAGTAATACTTCTGTTCTTTCCATACGAGGGAAACATGGATGCGGTGAAGATCCAATTACGCTCGACCAAGACCCGATGCGATATGCAGAGCTGGATCAGGCGTTGCACACTCTGGGGGGGGGGGGGGGGGGGGGTTATGTACTCTTGGCGGTACATGTTAACCGGTTTTGCACCTCCACATAACAGAACCCGATAATCAGCAAAAAATATTTAAAAAACTACTTAAAAAGTGCTGAAAAAGTGTTGAAAAATGCCATCATGCGTACGATAGAATATAGATTATTCGTTCGAAGAATCCGTGTTCGGTTTAAACACTACTAAAAATGTTATTGAAGGAAAAACATTCGAACTTTCGAACGTTCGAATGTGGATATGCGTTCGTTCGCGCATACGATGCACATTTGGTGGGTGCACATGCGCTCTACAGTACAGGGTATATGTCAGGGTACTAGCAGTAAGTTAGCTTGGTGCATGCACAGTCAAAGTGGTCTGTTACTCGGGCAAGAGATTATGAGTCGTGACCGTGACACAGCGTGTGTGTGTTAGGACAGTAGGCTGGTTTGTATATTAGGAGTGGTGTATCATATCTGTAATTTGGTACTGATTTGCCCAGTGACTTTCACTGAATGTGATGATCATTGGCCACTGTGTGCTCTGCTTCCAACTGCAGTCATTGCTGTTAAGACGTAAGCCCTAGTCAGGATTGATCTGGCATCCACCACCAGTGTTACACATTGCCGTCCATTCACTATCAACTTATCAAGCCAGGACAGTTTGCAGCCGGTGTCTGCCATGTCGCGAGAACAACCCATGGCCTCATCAAAGCGTACTGTGGAATATGCCCGAGTCAGCCGCAGTGCGGGTTCTCTCTTCCCTAATGGGGGATAAGCCATACTTCTGCATGCAGCTGCTTCCGTTGCTTAGCCACTGCACTGACTCGGTGTTTGTCTGCTGTATATGCTGGACTTGTACTGTAGGTGATAGCCTAGCTGAAGGCACTTTGCTTGTATAATACATGTAGGGTCCTGCTTGCTGCTGCTGCCTTGAAATCACATTCCAACTCTTATTACTCAATACACGGATTTATGGGAATTTTCAACTGTTGCTAACAATTTATTTGAGAATCATAACGTTTTGAACATCAAATGGATATCCATTACAACATACAAAACGACGTGCTACAATAATGTAATTTATCAACCGGCAGTATTATAGCCTCGTTTTTTTATGATGCATTTCCGATTTCTTTTAGTGATCATCCATCTCAGTATTCTTTTGCAACACGCGCATGTGTGTGTGTTTGTGTGTGTGCCATATGGTGCAGTGGTATGTGCAGTTGATTTCCAATCGAGAGGTTGTGGGTTCGACCCCCGACGATTATGGTCGGACACATCTTTCTTCTCTTTCTCATTCTCCTAGCTCTTCTTTCATTCTCCCGGTTGGTTACCAACAGCCAGTATATGCCGGAGTATGCGGTGTGGTGTGTGTGTGTGTCTAAAAAGAATGAAAAAAATGAAAAATAGGGATCCACTGGCCAGAAAAAGCCACTTCAATCAGCTATGTGGTGGGATACCAGGCTAAAATTTGAGTGGTGGTCAATTCATCAGCCTTGCAAGCTATTAATGGTGTAATCCCAGCACAAGTTGCTATGTCTAACATCAAGAGTACATAACCCCCTGCTAACATACACGTACTGAGCTGTTCGCTATCATCGCTTCCGCAGTGGGCATATCTGAGTGTGTGTTCTGTGCGCGCATAAGCATGTGGGCACAAGTGCATGGAGTGTAGCGAATCCCTTTGACCTGTAGTACAGGAAGAGACGTCTTCTATTGTTTGCTCCGATTTGAACCACACATTGCCATAGTCAGCGGACTCGTACAGCAGAAAGAAGTGATGCCTAATCACTCTGGGATTCAGCTCTATGACTTGTCTCACTACACTGTACGACACCACCAGGGATTTGCATAGATCTACATGATGTATACAACTCCCTGGACGCCCACATAGATTGATGGCACACAACTTGGCCTAGCCGGGGGCATGCAGCTCGAAGGAGTGTTTGATGGCACCAGCGTGCAAAGCAAAATACACAACAAATACAGGAGATGAGAGGCTAATGACTCTGCGTGATGACATGATTGAGTAGCACCACTGCTTAACCAATGCCTTTCCTGTAGGCTGTTGAGTGATTGAGGAGCTCCTTGCTCTTCCTCTATATTTGGGCTAGATGACATAGAGTGCAGTCACCGTTTTTATGGAGAAGCAATGGCATACAGTGTCCGGAAGAGTTGGAACAGGATTGTTTGAAATTATTGCAAGCCTGCAGGGTTGTTTACCTCCCGTGACGCAAACCACATTGATTTTCAAGAACAACTGCCATACACGGTCATTATATCTGGTACGGAAATAGTTGCAACGTTACATTGTAGTTCCCACATTGGAGCAGCCACACTTTTTTGGGGCATATTTCTGGAATTTTATGAATTGAATGATTTTTAGAAGATTGTGGGTGAAGCAAGGGAGAACAAAGGCGACCTGTAGTCAATTCTGACCAGATCATGAAGGGGGGTAAGCTTGCAAGGGATGTTGTCAAGCTCAGAGTACGTAATTGTTCAATAAGCACCAAGGATGATACTGGATCTCAGTATCGCACAATTATTTGCTCGACGCAGGCAACTTCCTGTGGGATGTACCCAGTCAAACTAAAACCACAGTCCATAACACGTCATGAAGCGTATTGCCCCGCCTTGTTTCAGATTGCTGGTACGGTAGGAGCAGCAGCAGAGGCAGTGGCAGCAACAGTACTGCAGCAGCAGAGGCTGTGGCAGCAACAGTACTGCGGCAGCAGAGGCTGTGGCGGAAACAGTACTGCGGCAGCAGAGGCTGTGGCAACAACAGTCAGTAGTATTGGCTGTGGTAGCGGCTGAGCAGCAGGCCAAGCCAGGCTGTGGCAGAGCTCAGATACACAGCCATGCCGATGATGGGTACCTGTCAATGTGCTGCGGATACCGCCAGTCTGTGCTCACATTCGCAGATGCCGACTGGCCAGGGTATCACATGCAGCTGTTAGCACATTGCACTAGCTGGTCAAAGTTTGCTGCACTGACTAACACTTACCTAGCTCTATCCAGCACCCGCATGCAGGTGGCTTGAAGCAGTCTGGTGGCAAGCATCCAGATGGAGCTGAGAAGGTGATTTCAAGACTGAATCATCATTACTGGGCTCCCAGCTGCGATCATTACAACCAACCAGCCCCGTCCTGTGTAAACAGATCATGGCCTGGATGCTGGATCAGAGGAAGTCATCTCCTCCATCCAGAGTCCTCTGCAGAACAGAGAATGACGTGTTGGAGTATCTCCTGCAGCAGCTGCATCCACACCCACAGAGGGAGCCCCGTCTTCGCAGCAGCACCGTAACAGTAATGATGATAAGTGCCAGGACAGTGATACACGATGCAGCCAGAGCTCCCTGCACCGCACCGCTGCTTAACCAATATCTTTCCTGCAGATCATCCTGATCCAACTTTTCTTTGCCTTCTGTGAGGCAACACATACAGAAAACTGAATGAGGAACATTTCCGAACATGACGGTCTCATATGTGAGGAGATGATGTGTGTGTGTGGTGGTGGGGGGGGGGGGGGGGGGGGTAGTGATGGATGCGCCATGTGGTGCAACCATTATGATTATTTGCTGTATCTCAAACAGCGCACATACTTTAATCTTTCGTCAAATCTGCACGGCAATCAGCCTCTACTTTCGCCTCAGCATCATGATCTTGATACTGCTATATTTGTACTTGTTTGCGTACTTGTTTGCACTCATATCTTGGAATAACAAGTTTCCTGGTTTCCTACCCCCCCCCCCTCCTCTCTTTCCTACCCTTAGAGTTCTTGCTCTCCTGCTCCCCTCCCCGCCCTTCCACTCCCCATTTTGTTTCCTTTGGTGCACATGTGCAGCTGTGATGCCGAGACCCTTGGTCGGCTGAGCTTCACAGGTCCCACCCACTCCGACCTGCTGGATATGTACCATTGTGTCGAGTTCTTCTCCTCATTTTAGTTCATCATGCAGTGAGTGTTCAATAGTAAAAAAAACAAAAAAACAAACAAACAAAAAACATACCCTATATACAATGCACTCTCCCCCCCCCCCTCCTCCCCTTCCCCTGTGTCTACATACACTCCTCCACAGTTGTTGGTGCACTGAAGTATCGCTGAAGCCGAGACCTCAGGTCGGCGAGATACTCCAGTTTCACCACCACAGCTGCGACTGCAGCCCCCTCTATCATGCAGCATTCTGTTCTCGAGGTTCGTGGTTTCTCGTGAAAAAGAATAGAAAAGGGGTGTGCACTATATCGTAGAGGACATGGGATGTGCAGCATGCGGTGCAGTGGTGGTATCCGTGAAATCACGGTGTATAACAGTAACTAGCCTAGTCTTGTTCTCGTAGGCGTGGCCTGTTTATGTCTGTTTCATCGTCAGTCCTCGGATATTAGCGCCATGCTCAGCGGCATCGGTTCATCGAGAGTCGTGATGAGCTGGAACCGCCAAGTTGAGTCATCTTTCCAAGATTCCTTTTGAATCTCTCTCCCCTCTCCCACGTGACCAGTCAGTTTGGCAGTGAGCAAGTACGTACACGTGTGTGTGTGTGTGTGTGTGTGTGTGTGTGTGTGTGTGTGTGTGTGTGTGTGTGTGTGTGCGCGCGCGCGCGCATGCACGTGTGAGTGTGAGTGCATGAGAGAGAGAGAGAGAGAGAGAGAGAGAGAGAGAGGGGGGGGGGAGGAGGGAAAGATGAGTGAAGTATGCATGTATGCAAAATAGAAACACCCTGACCCTCACCATGACATAATCTTCTTTTTGCCAATGGCAGTGATGGCGAGCAGGTTGGCTCGGTGCCACCATGTGCGTGCATACTAGGCGAATTCAGATGGTGTTCCGGCTGCATACCTGCAAACAGGAGGACCAGCGCACAACAGGAGAACAATCTGGATAAATGCACTGTCATGGAGAAATCCAGGGGAAATATTACTTACCTTTTGTCATCTTTTGTTGAAATAGTAACGTCATATGCCATATCTAGGGCTTTTCCCCATCAAAGTGTAGGTGATTCGGAGTTGGGGACATTTCAAAGTTGCAGGCAGTGCTTGGTTCCAGACCGCCCGGATAAGCGAGGTATGAGTGTACTTGTACTTTATCGATCCGATCGCATGCAGAGTCTAAGAGAATACTCAGAATAGCATGTTACCGGTGTAACCACATGTACAAGAGCTGAATATCACCACGTTTAGCATCTCAGTTATCCGGGGTCGTGTCACGTGACTGACGTCGCAGTGATCTTAGGCATTTAAAAAAATTAGCTTTGCAGACACACTAGTCAGTACAATGTACTGATTAGTGTGTCTAGTACTAGTCACTATTATACTAGTCTACGGTCAACAAAAGTGCAGAACCAGTTATGGACTGCAGCAGCATGTACGCAGCCCCACTCGTATTGGACTAAGAGGACCACCAACTACAATTGACTTAGTATATAGCACAATGGGATGTGCTTCTCCTGCTACGACTCATGCTATCTCCTTCAGCGACCACCATGCTGTGACAACCCCTTTCAACATGGTTCCAATTCGAATTCCTCCTGCAGCTCCTGCACAGACACGGAACATCAGACGTATCAATATGGACCTGTTTCGGCAAGATATCCAGTGTGCTAACCTGTGCTCCATGAAGGGAACCTGTACCGAAATGTGGACCCAGTGGCACGAGTGTCTCATGTCACTCGTAGATCAACATGCACCACTCCGGCCTCGGAAGCACCGTGCCCACAATGTCGCACCATGGTATACCTCGGAGCTCGCAGCGCTTGTACGCAGGCGCAATAAACTGCATCGTAAGTGGCTGAGAACCAGACTTGATGTGGACTACCGCAGCTTCCAGCAGAGCAGACGGGAGGTTACCCGCACTAGCCGAGCACTGAAGGAACAGCATTACAATGAAGCATTTGTGAACGCTACAGGGAACCCAAGGCAGACTTGGCGTGTATTGAATCAGCTGAGCGGACGGCAGCCAGTCCACACTCTTCCCAAATGCTCCCCGGATGACATTGGTAATGTGTTTGCAGGCATTGTCAATGATCCTCAACGTCCCCCAGCCTTGACTCTACCTCAAGGCCCCATGTCTCCGAACAGCCTTTCAATCTTTAAGCCTGTTACCATTGCCCGTGTGCGTAAGCTCCTATCGTCAATAGCCATGACAAAAGCTACTGGCAGTGATGGCTTGCCCGGAACGATTCTTAAATCATGCGCTGACCTTCTTGCACCCTCACTGATGCTCATCTTCAACAAATCATTGTCCGAAGGCCAGCTGCCACCGAACATGAAAATCGCCAACATCACTCCCGTCTACAAAGGTGGTGACCCCAGTCAACCCACCAACTATAGACCTGTCTCTTTGCTCCCTATAGTCTCCAAGCTGCTTGAGCGTATCGTCCATGAGCAACTCAGTCAATACCTGGCTGAACATAATCTTTACCCTTCCTGTCAATTTGGCTTCAGACGCCAGCACTCTACAGAGGATGCTCTCACAATGGTTACAGACAAATTCCTAAGAGCCCGAGATGACGGGCTGTCAACTGGCGCTGCTTTCCTGGACATGTCAAAGGCCTTTGACAAGGTCCAGCATCAGACACTTGTCGAAGACCTATTCCAGCTTGGAATCTCCGGCACAGCCCTGAACTGGTTAAGCGACTACCTCTCAAATCGTCAACAACAAGTCGTCATCAGCGGCGATAGTAGCTCATCTTTCACGTGCTCAAGTGGGGTTCCCCAAGGGTCTGTACTGGGACCACTATTGTTTGTCATATATGTCAGGGATGTGGCCAGTGAAGTGGATCAGTTTGCCGTCCAGGTAACCCAATTCGCGGACGACATCATGCTACACGATAGCAGGAAGGACAAGGTAGTGCTGTCACACAACCTGTCTTCAGCCATCACCCATCTCAGCAACTGGCTTGGTGAGCGCAACCTAATCCTGAATAGTCGAAAAACACAAATATTGTTTATTCCTGCCAATCGTCATGACGACAAGACATTGAATGTGCACTGTGCAGCTACACTCCTCCAGCAAGTGACAAGCGCCAAGTACCTGGGCTTGCACATCGATGACGACCTGAAATGGAACACAATGGTTGACCATATAGCCAAGACAGTGTCCTCAAAGATTGCCATTCTCTTCCGCCACAGGCAGTGCCTCCCAATGCCATGCCGCTCAACCTACTTGAGATGTATAATTTTACCCACATTCCAATACGCATGCAACAGCTTTTCCTCTTCCCTTTCCTCTGCACAACGTGATCGTCTTGAGAAACTTCTCAAGCGAGCTGTGCGTGTTGCCTGCTCTGCTCCGTTCCTGTCTCCAACTGCCCCTCTTTTTGAACGCCTCAGCATTCAACCCCTGCAATCAATGTATTGCCGCAAACTCCTCCTGCTAACATTTCGTGTAATTCATAATAACTGTAGTGTGCTTCTTCATGACCTTGTCACACCTCTGTCACACACCCGTCGAACGAGGAGCACAGATGTTCCCCTGCTTCTTTTCCCGAGGATCATATCTGCCGCTGCCACACGCAGCCCTTCATATCAATGTCCCGCTCTCTGGAATAAGTTGCCTGCATCTATACGATCACTGAAGAAACCAGGTCAATTCCGGACCGCTCTCTTACCCCACCTGAAAAATTCACCGACTTACGTTGCTCACTGATCAAATAATTATGCAATCTTTCCTCTGCTAGCTAGCTGCTGTCTTAAATCCTACTCTTTTTTTCTATTTTCTTTTTTTTCTTTTTAATCTTTTCCTTACATTTGTGTGCCTGTTTGTCTTTAGTCGATCTCATGTAATAAGGCAACACTGCCTGTTTGTTATTCGACGTTAAATAAACCAATCCAATCCAATCCAAACCCCTCAGTCTCTGGTGTACATTGCACCAAGGTCCGGATGGCTAGCTGTTTTCAGTTTCTATGCTGGTGTCACGATTATGTACATGTACAGAGTCAAACAGTGGAGAGAAAGCGGCTCTGCGGTTGCAACTCAAGAGGTTCATGCACAACCGTGCAATCAATCACTGATCAGACCAGTGCATGGCAGTCTGAGTCTCAGCTACAACCACAGAGCGGCTCAGCCTTTCTGTCCACTGTTCTACGCTCTGCCTCCACGGCATTTGGAGCACTATTTGCACGCTAAGGTGCATCCCTCGTAGGTGTCAGATAGAATCTAAACAACTTGGAAGCGATTCAACCAGTACCGGCGGACTGTCCTCCTTCAATTCAATGCACGGGCATGAATACTGGCCAGTGCCTATGCGGTGACTACGGTGACTATCACTGTACCAGCAGGGAGTCGTACTATTAACACGCATAAACCCGTTTATAGGACTCCCTGCCCTGGTGACCAGTAACTGAGTTAATCCAGTAGTAAACACTCGACGGCAAAACACGCGCATCAATGCCTTCCTGTGACCGTAGGCTTCCGGCCAAAGTGTTTGTTGTCTCCGAGTCCGAATGAACGGCTGAACATCTCCGGGAGCATCGGAGCGTTTCTTCCCTGACGGCCTGAGGCTGTGTGGTTCCTCCAGTCCCGGTGCTGGGGAAGATCAGCACAGCTGCACTGGAAATTGGAAGGGCTGAGCCCTCCGTCGACCAAGGCTGCTGGTTGGCTGATAAACGCAGCGTGGTGCCGCATGCAGGAAGCAAAAAAACGGTCTGCTTCGGGAGATAGCACGTGCATTCTGTTTTGCCTCAAGTCGCTGCTGTCTGTGACAGGCGCTACTAGGTAATCAGTGGTAATAGGAGTATGGGGGGGGGGGGGGAAGATAGCGGTACATATGCAGCATGCAACTGGAGCAACACCTACTAATAGTATATACCCGACTACACTATTATAATGAGAGTAGCAATCCCGGTATTCGAAGAGATTGAGAGGACGTCACTGTGGGTCTACCCGATAAGGGCAAACAGCAACCACGAGAATGGACACTGCAACATTCTCAGCAGGATTGGCGGAAGATCCAATGAATGCCTTCGATGGCGTTGCCCGTTGAACGTTGCAGTAGTGCGTCCGCAACGCACGAACACCTGCCCTCATAAAAACTAAGTTACTAACTTCAGAAGCAGCAGCAACAGCAGCAGAGCATGGCGTAGAGTCTACATGCAGTGACTCACTAGTGCCACAAATGCAAACGGCTGTAAACACTTGAGTCGCTTCAAACTTCAAAGCATCATGCTCCAGACAAGATCATCGAAGACGTGGCTGGACTCTTGTCAAATTGTAATTATATCAGCCACCTTCGTCAACTAGATATCAACATTCTACAAAAGGTAGTTCTGGAGAGAAGAGAGGGCGACCAAGATCACTTTGCTCAACTGGTAATGTGGTGTACAGTGTATGTGTAACAGGAAATCGGAGAAGCGGCACAGTTGGAGATTATCTTCACGGAGCGGGGCGCTCACCCCTTATGGACATGCACAAGTCGAAGTACGCAAGTAAAGAGGAAAAAGGAACAGACTGACGCTGGAGACGGTCGTGGTCACAGCGTGACATGATGACCGTAAAAGTATTATGCCAATGGCATGCTAGCTGTAGGGTTGGCATTCCATGTCGCGAGAATAGCGTGTACTGTACATGAACATTGACAGAAGTGACTAATTACTGTTACTGGCTCAGTGTACTAAAACTTCACTTCTTCTCAGTGGTAAAAAGGTATAATTGATAGGACATGTGGTGGCAGGTGAGGGGTGCTACTTATTACGGCGATATCACGGCAGAGCACCATGTACTCACGATCACCCCAGCTAACGAAATGGCGCACGTGCAGGAGGCTCTCAATGAAGTCAGTTCACGGTCACTCACCATCGCCATAGGCATAGGCATAAAATAAAAATAAAAATAGTCATGCC